ACTGTGGATGCTGCAGCTGGCATATTGATTGCCATGGAAGTGGCCTCATGTTCATCTTCAGAGAGCAACCCAGAGGATTGTAGGGCAGTTGCTGGTGCATCAACCGCAGGTACCTGCTAAAGATCTGAAGCAGATGATATCAAAGGGTACAACTTTTTAACAACCCCTGGAAATAGTTTGTTCGTTATTGGCTTTGCCCACTCTGCCTTCATCTGTCTCACATAGAATTCAGGAGAGAGGAAGGCTCTTTCTGAGCAATCAGCTGGAGGAAAGAACTCATCAATGAGCTCTGTGCCATCTTTCTGCGCTTGGGCATTAGCACTCTTGTCCCCTGCCTTTTGGGGTCCCTGTATATTGAGTGCTGATAGGGTCTAAGACAGCAAATACTGAAAAACCTCGCCCTTGAAATATCTAAAGGACTGGTCTGAGACAATCATTTCCCCCTATTCACCGTAATTACATGAAAAACCCCCCTCCCCCTTTCACCAGAGACATGTGAGAGGCTATCCCTCTCACGTGAAGGTGGATCAAATAGGCAGTGCTCCTTGGGAAACCCTTTTTGTGCCGCTTTGGTGGGCCAGCTGCCTCTGTCCTTGCGCCTCCAAGGAGAGGGGGAGGGGAGGAGGATATAGTAGCCCCATGACTCCCTGATCTGCAGAAATGCGCTATTTCCTCCCCCATGGCTGTTATAAAGAAGGCCATCACATTTGGAAATAAGGGGACAGACCTGGGGTTGCCAACATTACCACTCTGCAACTCGTCATCTTCCTTGGCCCCTTGAGCACTATCAGCACAATCATGCCTAGGTTGATGAACCCAATTGAACCATAGGTCTCAAGGGGCGCCATGTGCGGGATTAGGCTCTGCTCGCCATTCCCGTCTTAAAGCATAGAGTGGCCAGTGGACTCCAAAATGGCCGCTGAGGCATGCGCGGGCTCAATAAATGCTGCAGGGGTGTGCGGCTGTTGGGCGCGCTTTGGAATGCCATCCTTGCCTTGCTCTGCTGGTTGAGCGTTGGCCACCGCCACGGCCTCTATCTCCGGAGTGGAGAGAAATCCATTGCTATCCTCTCTTAATGCCACAGAAAGCGGTCTGTGAGATCCCCTCCCATTAAGAGACCAACCAGCCCAGCAATGCTCAACCTCAAAAGGGGAGTGGGGGGAGAGGATAACATATAGGAAGGAAGAAGAAAAGGAATTTTTTTTCTCCTTAAGTTTCTTCAGAGAGAGGGAACAGCAAAGATGGAAGGAGAAAGTGAAAGTAAGTTAACTCAGAAAGATAGGGTTAGGCAGAGCCTACACCTAGCTGCTCTCCCTTCTGAGGCAGGAAAAGAACTGAGCCTAGGGTGACTCCCACTACAGGAAACAGGAAGTAATTGAAATTAGTCCTGCCACCCTAAGTGATGGATGGGAATCACCCACAAGATGTCCTCCACCTCAGGGGGAGAATTCCGATTCTTTTCTTTCCCTTTAAGGACGGAGAATACTTTTTTGGTTTTGCCGCTGTCACAGCCGACTTATGGCGATCCTGGCGGATGTTCAAGGCAAGAGACATTCAGAGGCGGTTTGCCATCGCTGGCCTCTGCGCAGCGGCCTGGACTTCCTTGTTAGTCTCCCATCCAAATACCAACCAAGGCCGACCCTGCTTAGCTTCCAGGATCTAACAATCTCAGGCTAGCCTGGGCTACCCAGGTCAGGGGAGAGAATACGTTGCCCAGTCCACAAAGTGGTACTTACTGTAAGTGGTACTTACTGTCTTTAAGGGCAGTGGCAAACTCTGGTCCCCCTCTCTTCTTGAACTTGGGGAAGGTATCCGGCTGCGGAAGCTGGTTAGCAGTCACGAGGGCCTTCTGCAGCTTGATCCTCCCTTCCAGGAGCTGGTCCCACAGTGCTTCAGACGAGAGAAAAGAACACGACACAGCCTGAGCACGGCCCTTCCCCTTTCCGGAGCCACGGGGCTTCCCAGACAACTGATGCCACAAAGACAAGACACACAGTTCCCTCCCCCGCCCGGCAGACTGGCAGAAGCTAGTTTTCTTCGCCGATAATCATTTAAAAGAAACCAAAACACAAATGACAAATAGGAAAGTAAATTAAATGGAAAAATTAACAAATTAAACAAACCCATCCGTGTCCGTTTAAAACTTGAACAGGTGCAGACTCTTTTAAACAAAAGCTGCAAATGGGTCTTTTGTTTGAACATGTCAGTGCTATTCCTGAAAGAGGACCAGAGAAATTGCCTTTATCTTTCCTCAGAGGACACATTTTTAAAGGTGGAAGGGGAAGGGCGGAATAATGAAGGAACAGTGCAGGAGACGTGGCTGATACTTGGAAAAGTCAATGGAGTAATACTTCACATTCCGAGAGTGTTTTCAGGATTCAGAGGGCCTAGAGCACATTGCCTTGTTAGAATCCTTACAACGGCCCTGCAGATTAGGCTAGTCTCATTGCTGAGAGCAGGGGGCTTGCTAAAGCCACTAAAGTAAATTCACGGCAGAAGCAAGATTTGAAACAGGGATCTCTCAGGGACGCTCACTGACTTAGTCGCTAGACTGGCTGCAAAAATGATTGCTGCGGACCAAAGAGATTAAATTATTTTATTACCTATTTACTTTTATCACACTAGCCATCAGGTTCCTTTATATATACATGTCACTTCATCCAGGAAGATCTCCAGCAGGGGTCCCCAACCTTTTTGAGCCAGTGGGCATGTCCATAATTCTGACATGGCATGGTGGGAACATCCAGAAAATGGCTCCCACAGCTTAGCTTCAGTCACACAGTGAAGATCTTGTGTTGTGGTGGCAGCTGTTGCCAAAGCAATGTTTCTAAAAAATCTGCACAGACAACCTGATCTCCAGCAGCCAATCAGAAGCCTTGCTGGGCAAAAGCCCTCCCTGGGCCCACTCACTTCCTGAAAACACTTAGTGGGCACCAGGGAAGGTGTCAGTGGGCACCATAAGAACCTAAGAGAAGCCAGTGTTGGATCAGGCCAATGGCCCACCCTGTCCAACACTCTGTGTCACACAGTGGCCAGAAATACCAGGGGCCACCAGGAGGTCCATCAGTGGGCACTGTGTTGGGGACCCCTACTCTCCAGTGCAGGATGGCTTTTGTTTTGTTAACTAGAAGGCAAGGCATACTTTAAACAACAACAGCTCCAGAAAAGCCCTGCCTACTAACCTATTTGATTTATCACAGCTCTCCCCTTCTCTACTTCTTCGCCCACTTTGTCTTCAGAGAACGTCAAAAGCGTCCCATCGTCCTTGCTCTCTTCCGCACCCACTACTTCATCCTCCACTTCAGAGCTTTCCTCGGAAACGGCTTCATCGCTGCTGCCTTCTTCCACACTGCCCTCGTCCTCCTCATCCCCGCTCTCAATTTCATCCATCCCCTCAGCAAACTTCTCAAAATCGTCAATAGCCTGGAAACAGAAAGCTGCTTTCTTCAGGGTCGCTGGCGGATGGCTCTCTTTCTCCTCACCACGGTCAACACTGGGTGGAGCGGACGCCTCCTCCTCCTCCTCCTCCTCCTCCATGTCTGGGTCTTCTTCATCATCCAACTCCTCCTCCAGGGATTCACTGCCCAGGTCACTTTCATCGGTTTCCTCTTCCCCCGAAGTTTGCTCTGTCAATTACAAAAAAGGGAATAATTAACCCTCGTCCAGTGCAATTCCATCCACCCGCAACAAGAGTTGGTTGCACACAGAGAAGTAAAAGCCAGTACAGTGCATTTATTTGTTTAGACAATTATACTATGTTTTTCTCCCGAAGGAGTCTTGTAACGTGTTTCTTCCCTCCTCCGCCCAGGCTAGGCTGAGACTGTATGACTGGCCCAAAGTTCACCCTGTGAGCCTCAATGGCAAGGTTCCCCCCCCAAAAAAAAACCCTGGGTCTCCCAGATCTTAGATGCTTTACCCACTATGCCACACTGGCTCTTGGGTAGAAAACAGCGCATGGGCCTTCAAGCAGGGAGATCTGAGTTCGGCTACCCTCTCAGCCAGCAAGCTCTGTCACTGTCCTCAAGACATTCATTCACGCTCTTGCTTTCATCTTAGATCTGCTGCCCCCTCTGACCTTTTTAGTCAATCGGTTAATCTAACTAGGTTGCCAGCCTTCAGGTACCCAGAGATCAGTGTTCTTGTCATTGTCAATAAACACATACACCAAGCGAAAAAGTTGGCTGGATCCACCCCTAGAGATGGGAGGGCCCAGAAAGAAACAGAGGGGGAGAAAGAGTTATTTCCTCTTAAGGTAGGATTTTTCTAATTTCCTCTTATGGTAGTCCCTCTGGCTTGGAGTAGGAGCTCCAGACCTCCTACCAAGCACAGGGGGTATGCAGGAACTGGAGAGGTCAGCCAGGGCCACTCAAATAGGAGCCATGCAACAAAAGAAATTTGCATAGCCTATCGAGCGAGCAGAGGCATGACCTAACCAGTTCCTGGATGACTTCCCCCCACTGAAGAAGAACCCTGATCCAACCAATTGGTTGGCAAAGTGTTGCCATCTGGGAAAACAATGGCAGGATACAAATGTCATTGTCAATAAACACATACACCGAACAAAAAGGTTGGCTGGATCCACCCCTAGAGATGGGAGGGCCCAGAAAGAAACAGAGGGGGAGAAAGAGTTATTTCCTCTTAAGGTAGGATTTTTCTAATTTCCTCTTATGGTAGTCCCTCTGGCTTGGAGTAGGAGCTCCAGACCTCCTACCAAGCACAGGGGGTATGCAGGAACTGGAGAGGTCAGCCAGGGCCACTCAAATAGGAGCCATGCAACAAAAGAAATTTGCATAGCCTATCGAGCGAGCAGAGGCATGACCTAACCAGTTCCTGGATGACTTCCCCCCACTGAAGAAGAACCCTGATCCAACCAATTGGTTGGCAAAGTGTTGCCATCTGGGAAAACAATGGCAGGATACAAATGTCATTGTCAATAAACACATACACCGAACAAAAAGGTTGGCTGGATCCACCGCCCAGAAAGAAACAGAGGGGGAGAAAGAGTTGTTTCTAAGCAATTTATAAAAAATTGAGATAATGGGTGAGCAACACAAGGCAATCAAGTTCCCTTCCGTACATTTTTATCAAAGGGGGAAACTGAAGACAAGCAGGATACAATTCCCAAGATCCATCAGGGTAAAAAAAAGAGTTGCCCATATCCTTCCCACTGACCTGACAGAGACCTGACACAAGTCTTTGGGAAGGGGGAATTAGCTAGGGAGGCAAAGTGAAGTTTCACACCTAAGAAGATCTGAAACAATTATCACTATAGAAAAACAACTTCACACTAGAACTTATCCATAATTTTATTAAAAGGCAGACCACACTCAAACATTCCCCCCCCCAAAAAAATTAAGTGGACTTTTCAAATGCAGATTTTATTCTGAAATTCTCATCTGAAGTTCTCCCCAGATTCTGAAGTTCCATGTTACGTGCTCTTGTTTCCAAGTTGGAACTGATGCATTAGGTGGTCCAATGTTCTATTCCCAAATTCTGTGCAGAGCAACTGTGCACGCATTTAAAGCCATGGCTTTAAATACCTTCAGTTCATTTGCCTCTTTTCCCCCCTCTTTGCCAGTGAGCACAAATGCAGTGATAAAGCACAGCAAAACCGTCATAATATGGCCTCAGTGTATCAAGCTACATGGAGATTTTTTTATGCTGTGTTTTACCAATGTGAAGGAACGCACATGTACAAAAGAAATACTGGTGCCTACTTTCTTAAAACACGGCACAACATACAATCACAGTGCACTGTTTTCCGAATCCACCCACCTATAAAAGTAATGAAAAAGGCAAAAAAAAAAAATGCTGAAAACTGAACTGAACACATGAAGCTGCCTGATATGGAATCAGGCTATTGGTCCATCATGGTCAGTATCGTCTACTCAGACTGACAGCTGCTTTCCGGGGTCTCAGGCAGAAGAGGTCTTTCACACTGCCTTCTGCCTAGTGGCTTTTGTTTGTTTGTTTGTTTGTTTTTAACTAGAGAAGCCAAGGACTGAACCCAAGACCTTCTGCATGCAAAGAAAATTCATTTTTAAAATTCACCTCATTAAACTGGAATTAAAGAAGAATGGAACTCCACACCAACACAAACATTAGAACAACGAAGGCGGAGGAGGAGGAGGAGGAGAAGAAGAAAAAGACTGGATTTATACCCCGCCCTTCACTACCCAAAGGTGTCTCAGAGCGGCTTACAAACTCCTTTCCCTTCCCCTCCCCACAACAGACACCCTGTGAGGCGGGTGGGGCTGAGAGAGCTCTTGACAGAAACTGCTCTTTTTCAAGAACAGCTCTTATCAGAGCTACGGCTTGCCCAAGGTCATCCAGCCAGGTGCAAGTGGAGGAGTGGGGAATCAAAGCCGGTTCTCCCAGATAAGAGTCCGCACACTTAACCACTACACCAAACTGGCAAAAGAGTGAAAACAGTGTAAAATCCAGTCATTCCTACTTCCTTTCTTTTTAAAATTAATAAGAAGACTGCTGGACAGGCATTAAATACTATCTGATCTACAGATTTTTTAAAAAACCCAAAAGTAATGAACTTCATGGCACAGATATAGGGCTGGCTGAATGATACACAACTGCTGACCATTAAGCCAACCACAGGACAGGAAGATGTGGGGCGGGAAACTTTGCATGGCTGCAGTTTCATCCAATGTGGAGCAATTGCGGGGTGTGATACAGGCAAGATACCATGGATAAAAACAAAAAAGGTGGGCACAGCATTTTGCCACAACCAATGCATGGCTGTGCTGGACCAGAGCAAAGCTTCTCCCGTAACAGCCCAACAATGGCTGGACAGGTACCCCATAGCACCTGCAAGCAAGTCTTTAAGGTAAGAGGGCTGTTCCCCATTTGCCTTCAACAGCTGATTTATCAAGAGGTATAATGCCCCTGAACATGGAGGTTGTATCTGATACCCACTGGGAGAAGAGCCTTTTTGGTAGTTGCCCCACGCTACAGAATTCTCTGTAGTGCCCTCTGAAAACCCATCTGCAATATCATTTCACTCTTTTGATTTCTCCTCCTCCCCCAGGCATTCACAAGCAGGACTCTGAGCGGCTGCAATTTTAATGTGCCACTTCATTGGCAACCAATTGCAGTTTTCAAATTTCAGCTTTACAGGAATAGTATTGTGCTTAACGGTCTGTAAACAACTTTGAATATTTTAATATTAAAAAATACCATTGCCAAGTCTACCCAAGTCACATTTCAATCCTTTTAAAGAAGGCACCTAAGCTACTATCTGTAGCCACATCTTGGGGTGGCAAATACCCTAAGTTAACCCTAATCCCTATTTCTTCCCCATGAGCAACAACCAACACAACGCCATCTGGTGGGGCATGCAAAATGTGTGACAATGTGTGACACAGAAAGCTGTCTTAGTCTTCAACTCCAGACCCTGGGTTTTATTTAGTCCAAATGCACTTTATTTCAACTGGCAACAACTCTCCAGACCCTCAGACAGAGACCTTTCATTATTACTAGGGACCATTTCCATTGAAGTTCACTCACAGCCTCTCTACGGATAAAAGCAACTCCCGGATAAAGTGGTTTCCAATTTTACAAAATTGGCTTTCCCCCAAAAAAGGAAGCTGGGAAATGTAGTCTGTGTGCGTGCATGTGTTTTGTAAGGATTCTGAGAATGCCCTCCAAGGACGCCCATTGCCCAAGACTCCCTGGAATGGAAGAAGTTATGCTGTGAAACCAGGTTAAAAGGTGTAGCAGAGACATGCCCTGAAGAGCCAGTGTGGAGTCGCGATCAGAGTCTGAGGCTAGTATCTGAGAGGCCCAGGTCTGAATCCTCACTCTGCCAATGGAAACCTGCTGGGAGACCTGAGACCAGGATCACACTCTTGGCCGTATCTACCTCACAGGGGTTTTGTGGTGTTAAAAATGGAGGAGACGAGAAGGACATAAGCCATTTTGGGTCCCCTCTGGGGAGGAAGGTGGGGTATAAATGAAGTAAACAAACAAACACCCTTGTTTCCAAAGACAAAAGAGTTTGGCAAGAGAGAAGATTAAATAGAAGGAACACAGCAGAGTGCAAATGCTCACCCCACAGCTGGTCTTCCAAGGCTTTGCGAGACGTCGCCTTCCCACGGTATCGCTGATCGGCATCCAGGAGGCTGGAGGAGACGCTTTTCCGTATGAGACCAATGGCAGGAAGATCATCTTCAGGGACCCCTTCATCAAACTTGTCAACAACTCTGGCCGCAGTGGCTGGGAAGAAAGAGTGGGGAAGGGGGGCTTTGTCGTCATTTGGTGAAGCCAAACAAGCTGGTCTTTCCCCAAGCCCCCTTCCTTCCCGCTCTACTTTCTCATGCTACATCCTACTCTTCAAACAGCCTCCCCTCTATCAAGTTACTCCTCCTTTTTATCTGGAAAGAGTGGAGGGCAGCTTCAAGTCTGTGTGGAGATTTCCGTAGCATTCTTGGTGTATTGACCCTTGAGCCAAGATGGTGGCTGGAGCCATGGAAGACCCAGGTATGAATTCCCACTCAGCCATGAAGCTTACTGGATGCATGTGGACCAGTTAGATGAATTCTGGCAGCCTACAGTTAAATGTTGGGAAGATAAAATGTAGGAATGAAACACCTATGCTGCTCCAAAGTCTTTGGAGGAAGATCAAGATAAAAATAGAATACACAGCCTATTTTTTTAAAAAGACCACTAAAGTAAATCACTAATATTCCTCTTTTATAGGCTAGGCTAGCCCAATTTATAGGCTAGTCCAATCTTGTTATATCTTGGAAGCTAAACAGGGTTGGTTAGTACTCGGATGGGAGACCTCCAAGGAATACCAGGGTCGTGATCCAGAGGCAGGCAATGACAAACCAACTCTGAATGTCTCTTGCCTTGAAAACCCCATGTGGTCTCCAGAAGTCAACTGCGACTTGACGGTACTTTCCAGCACTGCAGTTAGACTTTTGTCTTCGTTAAAACAGAAGTCTCGGTCAGCCTTAACCACACGACAAATATTGGTGGGGAGAATCTTATTTGGTCTGTATTTACTAACCCAAAGCCCGGTTCCAAATCCCCACTGCCACCAAGCAAACCCATGTTTACAGCAGCAGAAAGATCTCACAATACCCAGACACTGAAAATGAGATGGCAGAAAAACAGCATGAACTATGGGAGAAAGACACTTATTATTAATCACCCACACTGTGGGTATTTGGAGGTTACTTTCCTACCACCACAAGTGTTTATCTGTCTGTGGTGGAGTATACGTTTCACGGTGAAGCCCACTGTTCGTGCCAATGCTAATGCTTCACCTTCAACACTTTCCTGAGTCAGTTATCCTTTGGGGAAAACAACAAGAGACATTTTTCATCCCAATACAGTACATTGCCTGGGATGGCAAAAGGAAACCCATACCAAAATCAGTTGATTTTTAGGGCTGTTGTGTGTACAGAATGAAAACGATGCTGAACTCTGAGGAAATTATTTAGCAGTATGCAGATGACACAGTTCTAAAGGACCAAACTGGAGAGTCACTTCTCTATGAATTTTGCCCCCCCCCCCGGCAATCGGGGAGACATTATATCTATTTTTAAAAAATATTACTACCTACATATCCTTTCACTTTCTAAGTAGGAGGAAGAATTTGCTTCTAAGAGAGAAGGAAGCATGTACTCCCAAAAACTGGCTCCCAATCATTGTCTCCTTGTTTACAAAGTTCATATGTAAAGGTAAAGGTTTCCCTTGCTTGAAAGCCAGTCGAATCTGACTCTAGGGTTGCGGTGCTCATCTCCGTTTCCAAGCCGAAGAGCCAGCACTGCCCGAAGACATTTCCGTAGTCATGTGGCCGGCATGACTAAACGCCAAGGCACACGGAATGCTGTTACCTTCCCACCAAAGCAGTACCTGTTTATATACTTGCAATTCCTTGCTTTCGAACTGCTAGGTTGGCAGGAGCTGGAACCAGAGATGGGAGCTCACTCCGTCATGCGGCACTTGGGGGCATATAATGGGAGAGGCAGTCCTGTAAGTATGAGGAGCCCAGATTGGATAAGAGAGCAGTGGCGCAAGCGGTAAAACGCATGCATTAACATCATAGCGAACAGCCCTATGGCTGTTCGAGACCCACCGCGGCAGGGGTGAGCTCCCGGCCCTAGTCCTAGCTCCCGCCCACCCAGCGGTTCGAAAGCAAGTAAGAACAATAAAGCAAGTAGATAAATGGGTACCTGCCCTTAGAAGGGTAGGGGGCACCCTCCTCCAAGTGGGGATGTGGTGGGAATATCGGTGACGGTGACGACAACAGCAGTGGCGGCAGAGTAACGGCGCAGCGTGGCGATCCCTGGAGGCCAGAAGGGAAAAGCAGCAGCGTCCGGCACTCAGCGACGGCAGAGGTGGTGGTGGAGTCGCGGAAGAGCACACGGTGACGTAAAAAGCACAGGCGCGGCGGAGCCGGATGTGGACATAGCAGTGTTCCCTCTAAGCTGAGTTAGTGTGAGCTAGCTCACAGTTTTTTAGCCTCCGGCTCACACATTTTTGTCTTAGCTCAGGAAGGATGGCTCCAGAGCAGACTAATTCATACAGCAGCCTAATCGCTGGCTCACAACTTTAATGCCAGCAGCTCACAAAGTAGGATTTTTGCTCACAAGACTCCACAGCTTAGGGGGAACATTGCTTGCAACGTATCTGTAAACCGCTCTGAGACCTTCGGGTCTGAGCGGTATATAAACCAAATGTAATAAATAAATAATAATAATAAATAATTGTTATGGGCTTTAAGGGTACTACCAGGGCTGCTGCGTAAGGGAGTTGCTTTCAATTGGATTAGACAAATTCATCCATCAGTGGTTACTAGCCATGGGGACTAAAGACTTATGGCAAGCCCATATGGCAAAAAATTGAGGCCTCCATTCCGAAAGCCTGAAGGCACAGGAACTTTGCCCAGTCCCTGCAAGGCAAACCAGAGGGCCAAACACACCCTGCAGGAAACAGCATTCCTGGAGACCGAGGCAGCTACTTGGCTGCATTCAGACATCACAATAAAACAAAGTTGACTCATACTGAGCAAGAATAGGTCTCTTCACCGTGCCTGAAAGTGCGAAATACCCTGTGGGACAACCTTTTTGAGCCTGCAGGCACCTCTGGATTTCTGACACAGTGTGATGGGTGCAGCCACAAAATGGCTGCAAGTGGGAGGTGGGTGGAGCCAGTCACAAAATGGCTGCCGCAGCTTACCTAAAGTCGCACAATCAAGATACTTGTGCTGTGGTGGCATCTGCTGCTAAAGCAGCGCTTTTTAAAAATCTGTCCAGCCAATCAAACCTCCCCTGGCCAGTCAGAAGCCTTGCTGGGCAAATGCCCCCACCCACTTTCTAAAAACACTTGGCAGGTGCCGGGAAAGGAGTTGGCGGGCGCTATGGCAACCACGAGCACCATGCTGGGGAGCCCTGATCTAGGATAAAGTAATTCTTCTGGCAGGCCAGAAGAGAGCGAAAGCAGTGATGGCGCAGGAAGTTTCACGGTTAAGGGGGCCACAGCTAAAAAAGCAGGTTTGTTCAGGTTCAAGTCCAGGATTTATACTCTGGGTTTCACAAGGGGTACATGCCGAACTTTAATACGACCCATTGGTAGACATTCAAAGTGTTATTTTACAACAGGTAACAAAAAAAAACCCCGAGAATGCAAGGAAGTTTTGGCTGCAAGAGATTAGAGAAACAAAAAAAGACTGTAAGAAAGTTTTGGCTACAAGAGGTCTAAACAACTAGACAAACCAAAAAAAAACAAGAATGCAAGGAAGTTTTGGCTACAACAGATCTAAACACCTAGACATTTTAAAGTGAGTAAAATTTGGACGATTGTGGCTTTCTCACATTCCCCTCCCCGCCAACCACCTCTACTCAAAACCGAGGGAATCGGTTATTACACCAAATTAAATTCCAGCCTTGCTTCATTTTCATCCATGTGTGTGGCACCCTATACGCAAAGTTACAGGGTTAGGGCTGCTCAGCCAGGTGAGCGATCCGATTGCCTCAATATCACTAAGAGCTTTTCCGGGGGGGGGGGGGGGTCTCTCCCCTGCGCATTTGGAAATAGTCATACCCTGATTATGGATGCCACTGACTTAGGATGTGGAGAACTAAACATAGCCTACATACGATGAAATTGTTGAATTCTCAAGGTGGCACTGAACGGCAAACACTTATTTCAGTGTTTACTCATAAGTCTGAAAGATTCTACACAGCTTTTAGCAAGTCATTGAAAGCCCAGGAAGAGAACAAAGACGTACCAACAGCAGATACAACATTCCCAGTTGCTTAACCACGGCTGATCAGTCAGGCGCTCCTCCGCTCTGCTCTCACAGCAGTTTCCACCCCTTCCTTCCCCTTGTCTGTACTGGCCAGGGAGGAACACCTTCCTTGAACCTAAGTTCAAGCCACAGCTTGGAACTTGTTGGCAAACCTTGGTTCAAGACAACCGCATTGAACACTCTGCCTGGGAAGCCAGTTTGGTGTAGTGGTTAAGTGTGCAGAGTCTAATCTGGGAGAGCCGGGTTTGATTCCCCACTCCTCCATTTGCAGCTGCTGGATGACCCTGGGCAAGCCATAGTTCTGTCAGAGCTGTTTTTGAAAAAGAGCAGTTTCTGTCAGCGCTCTCTCGGCCCCACCTACCTCACAGGATGTCTGTTGTGGGGAGGGGAAAGGAGTTTGTAAGCCACTCTGAGACTCCGAGGGAAGGGCAGGGTATAAATCCAATCTCTTCTTCTCCTGTAACCTCACAGCTGGATTACTGCAATGAGCTTTACATGGGGCCGCCCTTGAAGATAACTGGGAAACTACAACTGTTCCAGAATGCAACAGACCAACTGATGTCAGGGACTAGCTGCTGGAAACATACGTTTGGGAAACATACGTTTGAAACAGGTACACTGGCTGCCAGGCCTTTTCCGAGTTCAATTCAAAGCACTGGTTATGACCTTTAAACACTTTGTGACCTGGGACCAACAAATCTCACCCTGGCTGTGAATTCACCAGAAAGCCTGTGTCATAACTAACCCTGGATCAGAACTGTGACTCATCTCGCACAGCATCCTTTCATAACGTAGCCAACTAGCTTCCCCATGGGGGGGGAACAGGGTAAAGGGACCAAGCCCTTCCCCAATGTGGCCTCCCAATACTACCCTGTTTCCCCGAAAATAAGACCTACCCCAAAAATAAGCCCTAGCAGGATTTCTATGCATTTGTGGTATAAGCCCTAGTGTGTCT